GCAGATGGCAGCATTACACGGCGCATTCAGTGCGCCTTCGATTATCATTTTGCTATAGGAAATGCTTAAATAATCGCAGTCGCAAATATTCCCACGAGTTTTTTCATATTTTTTCAGTATTTTGTTTTTTTTTTTTTTTGGTAGCAGCTATCTACTTCCAGCCATCAGCAGCGTCTGATTGTCTGCTACATGAACGAATCCGCATTGGATTCTATTAAAAGCGCCGGTAATCGTCAGAAGCGACGCTGGTAATCACCGTCAAGACTCAAAACGAAAGACTGCAGCAACGAACTTGCCGTGCATGCTTAACTTAACGTGATTTTAATAGCGAGTCGGTTCTGCATTTCATATTCCTTCTTCACCATCAAGCATAAATAAATATGTATAGTTATGTATATAGACAGTACATTGGCTCATGCAAATGACATTGAACATTTGTAATACCCTGTAACCATAAACGTGGCCTATAATTAGAATAGAATTATAACAAGGCTATGTAAGTCTCTATTAAAAGTTGAAATAATACTTTTGAGCGTTAAATACATTATTTATTAATAACTTTGATATAGCTTATCTCATCATGTTTATCCGTTTTCCAATTTATTCACCTGCAGATTTCAGAAATCATAGAGGCACTTTTCTACATGTAGTTAGGAGTTTATTAATATTATTATTATAATGGTATAGTATATAGTATATTAACTGTCATTTATATCCTTCACCTATAAGTTCAGAGTTTAGTTAATATTAGTATTGACTTTAATACAGGGTATCCCTTGGTCACACGACTTTCAACTAAATAACTTAATATAAATTTTATTATTATAATTGATTGCTTCATTTAACGTCAAAAATTTGCAGTTAACAATTTTTTATTGAGTATTTCTGTCATAATTATGTTTATAAACGCGCTGAGTTAGAACTGCAAAAATATTTCCTAAGTGGAGATGGGTGTGGCTTGGGAATCATAGATTTAATCAGAACTCGTTTTATCTTTAAGCTTCGTCTAGATAGAATAAAATTCCTACCATTAAATTCCTTAATTTTAAAGTGCGAATTTTCGCAACTCACAACAGTTCAAGGATATGTGCCACACACAAACTTCAGCGCAGCATTGAAGACCCGAGTTTAACCAGATAATAGGAAAATTATTTGGCAATTTGCAGGCAGACTCATTGCCACAATTAATTCATTTTACAACAGAGCTCATTGCAGCTGCATATCTTTAAAGGCGAGCCAGATAGTTGGATGCTTGTGCACATTGGGCAACAACCTTAAAAGGTCGTTTTGCCATTTTACAGCAAAGTGTCAAATCATCGCCATAGCAGTTAAGGAGCCATAAACTAACCTATATTTAACCCCAAACTATCCATCAAAGTACACGAAATGAGGGCTTCTGTTTTTCTTGTTGCTCTTGCAATCGAATGCGAGACAGCGAAGCCTTTTGTAAAATTGAAAAGCCATTTAGGTCCCGTTAATTTTAACACCCATTTTCTATGCCAGCGGCTTAGCTAAGATTGCCAAACAGAATTTCGAATGAAAAAAAAAAAAATGAGGCGCAACGCTGGCATCGTAAACAAAAGCGAGAAGCAGCCGAAATACGTAATGCAAGCGATAATTATTACCTACAGGCCCCAAAGACCCAAAGAGACAGAGTGAGAGAGAGAGAGAGAGAGAGACAGAGAGAGAGACGAAGAGAGGGAGATCCCCAAAAAATAAAAAATAAAAAAATAATAGCAGCGAGATGATTGAAAAGCAACAAAGATTTGCATAGAAACGTGCGATTTTCGGTGTGCTGCTAGCGGCACATGTTGGCCTCTATCTGGCAGATACCCTTTGTATCTGCCACTGGAACGTTGCACCCACACACAGCAGCAGCAGCAGTAGCAGTAGCAGCAGCAGTAGCAGCAGCAGCAGTCGGCATCGTTTGTCGCGCCGGCTGTCAACATGTTCAGACCTCAGTCACAGCATGAGAACAATAAAAAGCAACGAATTTGTATTCGCTGTACGTTGGTGTCTTCTGCTACTGCCTTCAATTATTCATCCATTCATGCCGTCATTTCCACAGCGGCAAGAGACCACTTGTGGATTTCTAGCTCCCCCAGTGGCAATTTGTTGATAGTAATAGTTGCATTTTCAGCAGCTTCTTCAACTAATTGCAAATAACTGCAATTAATCTAATTAATTTTTGGCGACCCAAAGGTCTTTAAAGGTTTGTTCATCCATTGTTGTGGCTCCTGCCTTTGGTATTTATAAAGTAAAGCCCTCATTTGTTATGTGTGTATGTGGGCACATTTTTAACATACGACAAACATTTTTTATATTTGCGAATTTCGTATTATTTTGTAGACCCAAAAATGTCGGAGCTTGGGTTTTGTTCTGGCCGAAAAATGTCAAGATCAAAGCTAAACGATAAGAAGACAGTTTGATTAATGAACTTGTTATAAGCGACACACATTTGTGTGCTTTAAATTTAAATAAACAAGATTCTTAAAAATCCGAATGAATCATCATATAATATAGATGATAATTGCAAAAATCTAAGTTGAATTTCGATATTAACTAAATTCGTATACAAATAAAGTATATAGATTTGATTTTAATTTGAAAATTATTTTAAATAATATATTAACTAAGCTTAGAATAAATTTTCTAACATAAAGAAAATTAACACTCATATAAATTATATAGAAAGAAGATTTATTGGGAATCTTTGTAAATTAATAGAAATTAAAACATTTTTTATAAGCAATTGGTTTTTTTAACATTGGAAAAAAACCCGAAATTCGAATTTTATACACGAAATCGGATCTTATCTATTGACCAAACCTTTAAATATATAGCACCAATTTAGTGTTCACCACATCATTAATTTCCGATCCAAGCAAACTTGAAATCGAACCAGCCTCTCTCATCCAATGGGAATGTCAATGTGTACATTTCTAGTGAAAATAAATTTCGACAACAATTAAAACAAATGATCGCAAAATAAAGTTAAACAACTCGCAATTGAATGTGACAGGCCAACATTTGCAAATTATCAAACAATCGTGTGCTAATGATGCAGGATCTTTGTCGTAGTTGGCTATACGAATATATTGAATTCAAAAGACCGACACGGCGACATAATATGCCTGGCTAATGGCTACTCAATTCCAGGCTAACAACAGCAACAACAAAAAAATGTATCTTTTATTGAGCATTTTACAAAACTGCATATCAAACCGCAGGGCCTGAACTCTGACCCTGCACAAACTCCAACTCTGGCCACGAATCACGAAGCAGCCGCCAGTTAAAAAAAAAAAACAAAAAAAAAATACTTTTATGCAAGTTCGGTGCAGAGTTGCCAACTAGCTGGTAGCACAGCGAATCCATCATTATCGAACGACATAAGTTTTTTTGTTTCTATGATGGGATCGCAGACGTCGCAGAGCATTTTTGCCAGGAACTATACATAATAACTTGATCGCAGGAAAATCATTTATTGTGACACGATCGACAATTGTAAATTGTGTTTATCAATGCAATAAATCTCCAAATTGCCAACTTGTTCAGTTCAGTCTGATACTTCTTGCCAATTGTCTGCGGCGCTCAGCGCATCTAGTTGCTAAGTCGTTGGATTTTTTTGTATACATATAAGAGTTAAAGTCATCTTTTTGTGTAATGAGTTTTATATTACCATTTTATAATTTGCCTGGGAACGGCAATAATTTCCCCAAATTTCTTCTCTTTCTTTTTGGTTGTTAAGCAAATAACTAAATTAAAGACAGATAAAGCTACGACTGTGCGCCTCTGCTATCTCTGCGCTGTTTTTGAAAACCCACAATGTACTAAAAAGCTTTGATAATTATTAATTAATTAATTAATTATAAATATATGTTTAAAGATGAACTTGTAATTAATGTACTGAGGTTGGGCAGAACTTTATAAATAAACATTAAGTATATCCGAAAAATCGAAATAACAATTTTTATCAATATTATTTATTATCATTAATAAAACCAATGTTTAAAAACGAATTAAAAATAAAGTAAAATAATTTATAAAATAAAATACTCACTCTATATCAATTAAAGTATTTGATATTCTCAAGTCCAATTCAACTGTTGATGCCGATCAAAATTAAGACCACAAACAAACCCCAAGCACTTTTTTACACGTTTTCACATTCAGCAGGTTATTAATAAACTAAACACACAGTAAATAAAATCAAATCCAAAAGTAAAGTTATCTTAACTTAGATGTGTCACACACATGTATATAAGTATACCCAGATTTGTTGCCAGATGCTTTCTTTACAGAAGCTGTAAGTCTCTATAGACTTCATTAGAGATAAGCACTATATGTTGCATTTATTAACTAAAAAGGTACCTTGATAATTAATTATGTGACAAATAGGAAGTGTCAAAGAATATACCCAATATATCTAGTTGTTCTACAACGTTCTACAATGATGAAAGAAATACTAGAGCAGAATATCAACAATATGTACGTATAGAAAGCCGAAGGGTAATTGTTGTTACAATAAAGATAACGATGCTTAAGTAAAAAAAATATGTATATGGAAAGCTAATTACTTTTACAATGTTGACAGCACTTAAACAGCAACGAAAAACTCTTTAATTTTCACACAATGAGATTGCGCTTTGTATGATTACAGCCCAACTACACTTTACAGTTTACACACGACAACTCACTTATCTCTTGACAGTCTAGGTATTTGTCTATATAATCCGGAATAAATTCTCGATTTTATTTATTTTTCGCTGCGTAGCTCTTAAGGAAAATTAAAGAAATTCCCCAACATCCACTCAAAATGCTCACGTTCAACCGATAAACCCTGTTCGAGCTAAGTATATCAGTCGGTAGTCAAAAAGTCAACAGCTATACCTAAAATTTATATACTTACGCACGTATCTAATCTTAGCAATACGTTTTATGGGGCGCTTATAGCGACTAGGGGTCGAGATTTTTACTATAAAAGCAAATGAGAAGCGCATTCAGAACGTTCAGTAGATACACGACCGTAGAACATTGCATATTAATTAGTTAGTGTTGAAAAACGATTAAATCAAAACCAAAATGGTTCACAGTGTTGGTGAGCAAAAGTTGAGTGTGTTTAGTGCGCGCTATCGCTGGCAGGTCATAGCCACCATGACAGGTGAATACTGAGTGAGATTTATATATGTACTTCGTACATTAGAAAAACTTGATCTGATAAATAGTGCACATCATGACCTTGACCCACGGGATTGGTGTGGGCTGGCTGGCGCCATCGCTTCCACTGCTGGGCTCCGAGCTGTCGCCGCTCGACAGACCCATCAGCATCGATGAGGCCTCCTGGGTGGGCTCCTTGATCGGCCTGGGCGCGCTCATGGGCAACATAATCTTTGGCCTGCTGCTGGATCGTTTGGGTCGCAAATTGAGCATGTACTTTCTGGCCATACCCAATATGGTAAATAAACTTGCATATTCGTGGTGCAGCACAATGACTCAAGCACTTTTTAAAACGTAGACCTATTGGATTCTTATCTATACGGCACAAGATGTGACGTATCTATATGCGGGTCGTTTCCTAGCCGGCATTTCGGGCGGCGGCTGTTATGTGGTATTACCTATATTCGTTGCTGAAATCTCTGATAACAAGTAAGTGAGTGTTATAGATTACGTTAAGCACGTACTTATGATTATATTTGCCGATTGTCTAACAAATTTAGATAGGAAGTGCTTTTAATAATTGTTATGCCATTATGTTGCGAAGTCTAAATTCAAGTGGATATTTCCGATTATTACTTAAATTTGAATAGTGAAAATTAATTCGCTTTCGATGCTTGGATATTGATGAAAATTTGTAATAAATTGTTGCTTTAGGCAGTGCTGCTCGGATCACATCACTTTTTTATATAGCTGCCATGGTAAACTGAAAGAATTATATCATACGTAAACTGTAATATTCTTAACTAATTCTATTTAATCTTTGCCCCTCTACAATTTTATTTTTGTTTGTAATACGATTCTGGTTTTATCTGGACTCTTTCAGCATACGTGGCGCACTATCTTCCATGGCCATGATGTATGTTAGCATTGGCATGATTATGGGATATATACTCACCACCTATCTCAGCTATTATCTGATGCCGTGCATAGCTATATTACTGCCAGTCGTTTATCTGCTGGCCATCTGGGGCTTATCTGAGACGCCACAGCACTTGCTGCGCAAGGGACGCAATGAGCAGGCCGAGAAAGCGTATTACTTCTATAAAAATCTGCCAGCAGCTAAGCCAGATAATGAGTCAGCTCACAATGATGCGGCTAAAAAGGAGTTTGAGACATTCAAGCAACAAGTGCTGAGCGGTGGTGTGCAGCAAGACGTCGGCTGGAAAGATTTCTGTGAGTAGCTAGACAAACATAATGATAAGATCCGGCTCTATTGATTTATGTGTGCGTGTGTGTACCTTATGTTTACAGTTAATCTGCCTACCATGAAGATCTTTGCTTTGAACTTTACGCTGCTCATTTGCAATCAGCTGTCGGGCAGCTTTGCGGTCTTCAACTATACATCGCACATCTTCAACGAGCTGGAGACCCAAATGGAAGCGAATACCTGCACCATTATAGTTGGTGCTGTTCAGGTGTTTGGCATAATATGTGCCGTTATTTTGGTAGATCGTGTGGGACGGCGAAAGCTGCTGCTTACATCCATGGCGGGCATGGGTCTGGGTGAGCTAGGCATTGGACTGCTCAAGGAATTTGCCTCCAAGCAGTTTCTAGCCGGAGCCAATTGGTTGTCCTTGCTGCTTATGTGCTGGGTGGCCTATATTGCATCCCTGGGCGTTATACCGCTTATATTTGTTATCATTATCGAACAACTGCCCGCCAAGGTGAGTACCGATTAGATACGACAGCCATATCATAGAGTAACGTTTATATTTGATGCCAACAGATACGCTCTCTGGGCACCTCCATCTGCATGGCCACGTTGAGCACCTTCATCTTTGTCTCGCTCAAAATCTATCCGATGATGATCTTTGGCCCCGGCCTGCCAGCCACCATGTATATGTCAGCCGGCGTTTGCGCCATCGGATTTATCATATTGGGTCTATTTCTGCCGGAGACCAAAGGCAAACAGCTGACGCACTAATTGTTGACGCGTGTGAAATATGTTGATGATGACTTCAGCGACGGCATCAATCCCAGCGACCACGCCAAATTGTCGCTTTTGTATGGGCGACTCATTGCATAAGTTGGGATTACCATTATGACTGTATGGGTGTGTGTGTGTGTGTGTGTGTGTGTGTGTGTGTGTACGGTTACGAGTACTTGCTTGTCAAGATATCGCCGCCAAAGCAGCTCACTCAACAGCTTGCCACAAATAGCATGGGGGCATGGTTCATCCTGAACTCTTGAACTTAATTCAATTTCAGTTTTTGCGGCTTTTCTGCTGTTGTTGTTGTTGCTGTTGCTTGGCTCAGTTTCGCGTCTATTGTGTGTGTGTGTATGTGTGTGTGTGTGTGTGTATAGACAGACTGCATGTACTTTTGTTAAATATTATTTCATTTTGTTTGGAGAAAGTCTGAGCGCTGTGATACGAGTTCAAATTTAGCATAACCAAATCATTTAGCTATAGTTATATATATTTCGCTAGCCCGTACGTATTGCGACTAAAATAACAATTAGTTAAACAAGACTTAGGCATAGCTAACGTACTTAAGACTACAAATTAGACGCAATAAAAAAAATTACAGAAAACAAATATTTAATCTGGTTTCTTCTTTGCAAAATTCATCCATAGATCAACTCTTGCTCATCATGCTCAACAAATATATAATATAAAAATTGATAAATATCGGAGACATTTCCTGGAGGCTGAAAAACACCCGAAAACAAAAACAAGCTTGCATAATACCAAATAATTATTTGAAATCAAATGCAGTCTGCAGTTGATATCATACCATAAAAAACGTGGCAAGAAAACATTTTGGCAGCCGCTTTCGCGATTATGAAATGATAAATGCGAATTAATGAATTCGCATCAGCAAACAAAGAAAGACACATTAATTCCGAGAAATTATTTATTTCGGTTTTGTTTTAGCCGAAAATGTAGAGGGATGTGCACGTAAAAATGAGCTTTCTGACAGGAGGACACACAAATCTCCGTAGATCTCAGCTCAGATCACAAGCGATGATAAATGAAACGCAAGCGTCCATACAAGACCCACAAAAGGCGCAATTAACCCCACTTTGCAGTTTGCAGCTGGGCTTTCGGGAGTGCAGTCCACTTAAGTGCAGCAGCGTCAGCAAATGCCGCCTTCAAATGCAATTTCATAATTTTCACACGTTTTTCCAAACGTCAGCTATCAACTGGGAGCCGTTTTCCCAGTTGCTGACAAGCGGAAATTAACCGCAATGAGGAGAATTTGTAACAGTTTTTTTTTATTTTTTTTGGGTTGCCCTCACGAGTGGTTTAAATGCAATTTCAGCCAATTGCAGGCGCTGATCGGATTGATAAGCGCATATATTGACCTAGTGCACACAGCTCGTCCAACTCCCACTGCGGATGACTTGCCGGATGCTAAAAATGAAATTAGCCAGAGAGGTAACGAAGATTTAATACCCTCTCAGACATTTTGCTGTCAAGAAATGTATTCTACAATGACAAATAAAAAAATGTCAATAAATAAATAAATATAAAAGTATATAAAATAAAAAATATACTCAGAAAAAAATAAACAAATACATGTTCGTCCAGAGTTTTCTAAAATTCCTTAACAATATTTTGTATAGGCATATGTATTTTTTAAATATTTTTTTTACCGATTTTCCCAAGTCTTATCAATAAAACCCAAATCGACTTGACTTAGTTAAATAAAAAACTTAATTCTAATATATCTCTTTTTGAACCAAGTTATAAACCTACAATGCGAGCCAGTTTATTTCCGGTACATAACAAAAATAATGGGTTATATTCTTAAAGGAAACATTACAATACTCTCAGTTAGGGCATTTCCGACACATTCACATTGTGTGTGGCCAAATGCAATTTCAATCGCCTTTGAATATAAGAAAAGTGCCAAACAATTGCGGCTAATGCGAGCGATTTCTCATTGTTAGGAGTGTTTGATTTGTGGTTACCTAAATTCCGATTGTTTACTCTGGATTGTTTAAAGAAAGTGCTGCGAGTGGCAGCAGCAGCAGCAGCCGCCTATTGTCTGAGCCCGGCCTATGCGCCCATTGACCATTAATAGACCATTTGCAATGCAAACTGTCATCCTTTGTATGTGTGAGTGTGTGTCTGTGTGTGTGTGTGTGTGTGGCAACAGTAGCAATATCCGTACCTTTCGCATTTTTTGTATATCATTTTATTATACTTTTTTCATTTGCCACTCATCCACTGATCTCCATTGATAACACTTCAAATTGCGAGAGAAATAATTTTGAATTTCACACAATTGCCAACAAAAAATTGTTTCTCGATTTATTTATTGTGTCACTGCAAATATGGTATTTATTATTTATTATTAACGCCTTTTTTTTTTGATGATGCGACGTTTCTATTGTCCGCACTTCTTTGCTGGAAATCAATTTCTGCAATTGTATAATATAATTGTGACTATTTATCTGCTCTAATTTCGTGGCGCTACTTTTACGAAGAGGTGTTGTAAATAGAAGCCGGAGCTTATTGAATTACGCATTATTTTTATAATATGTTATACAATCGTTTGAGTTGTGCTTCCATAAAGATTAGCTTTAGAAAGGTTTGCATAAATGCTGCGAAAATTATTTGATAACAAAAATGATATTTGATTATATTTGGAATTGTGGTTGTGCTTACACAAATGGAATATATGATACCTTTAATTACAGAATGAAAATCTGTAGGGCTTACTTGAACTCTTGAGAATCGCATAGAAAGCCAGAAATTTTCACTGCAGTTACCTTATGTGATGAAGGTGCACGTTAATTCCACCCGCAAGTGTGGAGAAATCGCGAAAAACTTTTTTGTTTACCATTCGATCGGCATCAAACTCATTTTCGAAGATATGATATATTACCATATTACCCGCATACATTAATACACACGTACAAAAGTAGTTATCACTTATGACACTTAAAAGCATGAAAACCTGAAAGGCTAACTTGCATTTATGAGAATCGCATAGAAAGGCGACATTTAAAATTACGCATTTGATAATATGCTGCGCACTCATAGATATATTAATAGATTAATATATATAAATTCATATATATGCAAAAGCTTTACAATCTTATATTTTGCTAGCAACAAGCTAAGAATTTCATAACCATATTATGTTAAAAATACAGCTAAGCTACGTTCTGTGCCAAGCAAAGGGTTGATTGAACTCATAAAAAACCCTAAATAACAACATTTCTAAACTAGTTTCATTTACATATTATTTAAATGCAAACCAAAACAAAAGAAAATAGAAATAAAATCCAAAATATGCAAATATGCAAAGCCACTTTTTGGGGCTCACTTCAAAACCGGGCGATTGGTGTGAAAATTAATAGATGCTCGGGTCAAAACTTATGCTGAATATGAAAAACTAGACGAGCTGACAAGCAGCTACCGTTCAAAATATGAAAAAAACGACTTAAAACTGGAAAAATTGTTTTGTGAATGCACAAATAAATTAACCATGATTAATTGAAAGGTCAAGCGTTGAGCAGCGGCTGTGAAGTGCATGAAGACCAAGTTAAGAGCTGAAAGCTGTGAAGACTTCATCAAGGCAGTGTCTCAACTGAAACTTAAAAACGCTGCGTTAATTGGCAATTGTTCGGATGTGTCTCGCGGATGCGCAGCACAAATAATTTGTCTGCTATGCCAAAGTGACCTTCAGTCAACTGTGGATAGACAGTCGGGATGCTACAGGTTTTGGCCATTTAAAGAACTAGACTTATAATTAATTAAATGCCGACGACTGAAGTGCATAGAAAATTTGACTACAATTAACGATGCGCCTCATTAAAACATTTTATTATACTCTGTTATTTGAAGGAGACAAAGAGTATATTAGGTTTGTACAGTCTTTCTCTGTCTTTTTCTAAAACTTAAAGTAAACTTTTGAAATATTTATTTATTTAAAATCAGTAAGAATGTTCTATAGATACAATTGTCATGCGCATATTCGGCATCGTGCTATTGCGGAGTATCTTGCAGTCGAACACTTTCAAATGCAACATTATTTGTTATTGTTATTTTATTATTTTTCGTGTTGGCTGCTTTGTAAAGTGTCTGCCAATAATAATTAATATACTTAAGTTGATGCCAGGCTTCAGCGGCCAAAAGGTCATTAAGTCACGACAGGTAGCCGAAAATAATTTCTTACAGAACCTCAACAGAAACTCCGAAAATATGAATTTATTTCAGAACATTAATTAAGTGGCAGACTCCGAGGTTCCAATTGCGCCATAGACAACGCGATATATGATATGCTCCGATGCCGGCGAATAGAATAAAATTAGCCATGATCAAAGAATGGTCCAAGAAAGAATGGTCTAGAGGGCAAAAGAACCATTTGGGTTGGTCCAACAACTAATTAACTGGCTATAACTTTCAATTTGATGGGTTTCTTTTCTATTTTCTTTAATTCTTATTTATGTCTGCAGCTGACAGCTTTATCGCTAAGAAGATTCTATAGAAAGAACAAAATGTTAATATGAAATTAATCTTTTGGCCAAATAGTTGGTAGGGAATGTCCGCGAGTGACGCAACTTTTTCTTTTTTGGCCATGACTTTGGGTTATGCAATCTGAGATCTTATACAATGATTGATGACTATGTGCTGTAAGGGAAATTCTTAAGTGTGTAACCGAAAGTTAAATCGTTTTCATTTGGTAAAGAGAAGACGCTATAGTTACTTTCCCTATAAAAAGTGAAATTTTTTCACAAACTAAATAAATATAAATAAAAATAATTAATATGTAAATATGTTTTTACTAAAATAATTGTTATAAACAAAATATAATAGAAGACTTGGCTTATGAAAACATTTTCTAGAAGGCAGTTCGATTTGAAATTTCTATTTAATTTTCGCATTCACGGAAGTTTTACTTAGTCATAAGCCCAAGCTAAATAGATTTATTTCACTTGCTCTTAAGAATATAATTTTTAACTCTTCCTTCTATTTGGTATTCATACTATACATATTTTACGATTCTTCTTTAGCCACATTCTTGAACGTTTGATCAGTTATTTTTGCTTCAAAGGCGCTTTTCTTAGAAGTCTTAATTAACCAACACACCTGCCGCCCAGTACAGCTAACAAAATCCAATTAATTCCATAGAGGAACTGCAAAGACCCACATTAAATCGTAGACAGGTGTTTGCTTAAAGAAAAGTTAAATAATTTAAATTGTTGCCCGCTTGTCAGCTAATTTTGTGTACGTCTGTGGGGTCTAGCCGTCGCCCGGTGTCACTCTGCTGCTCAGCTGACAGTCCAAAAGAGCTGTCAGCTGCCACGTGCCACCTGTATATGGCCAAAACACGAACACGGCTCCACACTAGCTGCTGATAAAACATCAAATATCCATATACGAATGCCATATTCTTGACCGCAGTAACAGCAGTTCAGCGAATGACAATGGAACTGTGTCCCCCGCCTTGAGCTGATTTGAGCTAGTCGACAATTATGCTGGCTGCATGTTTATTTTGGCCCCTTGTCGTTTGGCTCTGGCAAGTTGTTGTAATTTTGGTTATAAAACAAACACAAATGACATTATTCGCACGAAAAACAGGATGGCTGCGGCCGAAGTTGCAACTGCAACTGCAACTGCGGCAGCTGTTGCCGCACGACTTTCTTCTTTAGCTTCTTCGTAGCTGCAGCTACAAAAGCAACAACAACAACAACAACAACATCAATTCGACAGCGACGACATTTGCGCAGGCGCCTTTGTTGCGCTTTAACTTCCGGAAATCACGTTGCAGCTTGTGATAATGTTTTTGGGTTTTTTCTTTACTTTATTTTATTTTTTAAGGAACGGTACAAAAAATCACCGAAAAAAAAACAGACGTTGTGCACGCGAGCAAAATTACAAAGCTAACAAAAATTTGCAGTTGTTAAAGTTTTTTCAATTATGCAAAGATAATGTTGATGTGGGCGAAAGAAACTGACGGATTGCTTGATGTACCTGCATGAAAAAGGAATGTTAAGCAGTTTAAATTATAAAATAATAATAAGCAGTATAAACATTTAAATATTTAAAATACTTTTGCCATCGCTAGGTAAATTTGACTACTTTACACTTATCAGGCAGCTTAGCTTCAAGTTAAATATTTGCAAAGAAAGTATAATGCCAGTGCTGCCACCTTATGGTGCAGTGCACGTCTGGCAGCGCTAAGTAATTATTCTACGCAAATTTACTTTTCGCTTTTCAAAGCTGTTGCCAACATTTGTTGCCTTCTTATCTAATTGAGCGTACTCCAAACTAACATGAGCTTTACCATGCAAGATTAGAACCATCGAATTATTAACCAACTAGTTCACACAATTTGCAAAGAGACTCTTGCCAGTCAATAATTTAGCAGCTAATGCGAATATAATTAATGGAGCAGCCGCAGTACAAATTGACGCCCAAATTAACTGGCAGTCAGCACTCCCCGTAACCTATAGCTAATGTCAGAGGCAATTGACTCGGGCTGCAAATAGCTGAGTGCAGGCACCCAATGAACTTAAGAGTTGTCTGCAATTGCCAGACATTCTTGATTCATACGGCAGCCAAATGGCCTTCTAAAGTGGCAATCAATTTTTTTTCTCTCTATCTCTCTCTCTCTGTTTTATTTTTATGGTTTTCTGTCGTCATCTTCTTCTTTTTGGCCAAAAGAGTTAACCACGTGTTGCGACTGTGGGGCTGCGACGGTGTTGAAATGCGCGATGATCCAACGGCAAGTCGCTCGCTCGTTACCTTAACGGCATTTGACCCCCAAGCGCTTGGAGAGTTAGCCACGTTTCCTTGGCGAGCCGAGCCCATTCATTTCTTTGGTTATCAAAAAAAGCAGCCATGGCTGGCATCTTGGGCATTCAAACAATATGTTTTCTATATGCCTTATTTTCAGCACAAATCACTTGACCTTAAGCATTGTTGTAATTTATTTGTCGTTTCCCACACACTTCTCTTTTTGTTGTTAGAAGCTCAAAGCTGTAAACTGTATTACGACAATTTTTAGTCTTTTGGGTTACCCGAGCTCTGGCTCTCTTGTGGATTATTGTGCCATTGTCTGCCATTGTTGGGGCCTGTGTGCAGCAGCAATTGGGCTTGGGCTGCCGCTTATCAGCTCTTGGCTGCACTCGGGCGCTGTACACCGAATGATATAATAGTTGGCGTAATTGAATGCCAGCAGCTATTAAAAAAGGCTAAAGCTGAAAAAAAATTAATTTATATTGATCGGAAATTCAAGGAAAATATGCAAGTACTTGATTATTCTTGCAACAATTATCAATTTTGTTACAATTTCCGCTGTGTTTACGTTTTATTACAAACATTTTCCGGTTGTTAAAAAATCAATTGTCAATTATTATTACAGAATCCACACATGACAAGGCTAAATAATCTTCGTATTAATACCCTGTAGCTAAAAGTGAATATTTTATTATTATTATTGTTCGATTTTCATGCAAATTATTGGCTGGGAGGAGGATTTGTTAAAATATATATATACATATAGTCCAGTATTATATTATAATTTATATATGTAGGGTATACCAACTCATTTTTGTCATGTTTAAGCGACTATACCAAGTTCATAGAGACTTTTGGGATATTCAGAAGACTATATGGGCTTGACTCTTCATGTTAATCAAGTATATACGATTTATAAAGTCATAAAAGTCGCCTGTCGGCCGTCAACTGTTACACTCTACTACCTCATTGTCGGACTACAGGGTATTTTCATCGACTTATATGCTTCTCGATAGTATCTTTGAAGATCCCTAAACATAACTGTTAAATAACATGCATTATGTAAGCTGCTATGCTATAATCAAATTAAATTCCAATTACCCTTAACATGCATCCAAGTAACCAACTCCTCGCACCTTGGCTCAACTGTCTCAGCTGCGCAGATTCCAACATATAGTATAACACTTCCGGACTAATGAAACGCCAGACGAGGCAGCCCATTCGGCAACATCTTCATTAACAGCGCCGCCGACAATAATACGATATGTGAAGGCTTCCATTTCAATTGAGGCCAGGAGAGTATGAGGGGGAAAGTAAGGGGCAGATGTGTTGACGCTTACAGGCGTTCAGTTAGAGATTGCTGCTAAATGGGCGCTAAAACGGTTTTTCACGCTTTTCCAACCTAGTGGGGAAGCGTATTGGACATCGGCATGTTGGGCCGGCTCGGGACGCCCATTTAAGTGTCCAATAATTCAATCACATCAAACGCCAGTCTAATGGCTCTCTAAAATGCCGTTAAAAGGCTTTCAATTACACCAATTGAGCTAGAGATTTGCTCAAAATGTTGAGAAAGTTGGAAAATGTTCAATTTGTGTCGACAGTAGGCGTTGCTTTTTATCAAAATGTAAACTACGCTCGAGCTCTGCACACAAATAATATTCATTCATTCTTCATGCTCAGATCGAGCGAAACACAACTCTTTTGGTTTCAAAATTCAAAAAAAAAAAATTCAAATTAAATTGAAAATTAGTTAATTATAATTTTTAGATTTTTTTTATTGCACCAAATTTGTACTTCTAAAATTCGACATAGAGGTTTTTGATACCTTTTAGTTCTTTTGGACCTTTTTCAATTTTTGAAGAACAATACGCATTTTTCTCATTTATTTTCGGCCTTAAAATTTGTTTACACTCAAAAAATATTTTTGTGATATAGTGATTTTTTTTTGTCTTGCGACCGTTGGAATAGAAAATTGTATTTTTGTTGCTGCTAATGAATAATAAAAAACTAAATTCAAATGATGTCGTGGAGCCCGTAACGATTGCCAGCTTCTGCAGGACCCTGCTGCATGAAGTGCTGATATTTCTGTTGTTCTTTTCGATATCGGCGATGGTTTTCGTCGTGTTCTTCACGACGTTGAATAGTTTTGCCATAATGGCCACAAATAGGACACGGCCCCTTAAACATTGTTTATGGCCCAAAGAATGGTGTAGTATACTCAACAAGCGGCCCAATCTGCATGAACCGGAGTCACTCGCCATGCAGCAACAGCATATGGAACGGTCGCGAGCGAAATATGCTCGTTTTTTGGGTGAGTAGATAAATAACTCTTGGTTGTGATATGTATTTTCACCTTGCTCTATTTTTTTTTTCCAGATTACATGTTTAGAGCCACATAGCGGCACCATAATAAAATACATTAAATATTCTGTACGTATATGGTTAACCGACTGCACCTTACTTGTCATTATGCACTTATCGTATGTTCTCCACAACTGTGGCGTCACTTAAGCGTTCCGAACTGTCGGGTCTTTCCTGATTAAGTTTGAAGTTAAATTATATATATGCCACCGGGCAAATGTCTCTCGTCAAGATTGAGACATAGTCCCGGGTCAATATAAACAATATATGTATACATAATATATATGCACAAACGGATACAATTCTCGAAAAAAATATACATAAAAAATACGTAACCTCAACTATGAGATGAGCAGCACGCAACTCTCAAATGGCCATTATCAATACATGTGTTCTGACGCCCAGCTTTTCAATGCGTTTCGGTGGCAGTTAAGGTAAGCTTAAATATACAATTGTTTAAAAATTATTAATCTAAAGAATGGCACCATCCACAGCTGCATCCCGATTCATTTCCAAAGATGTCTTCCAATATATACAAAAAAAAAATCCACACCCCCTACAAAAAAAAATACCACTAACTACAACTTGTTAATTATATGTATATAAATACACATCCCCCCCATTCCCTCTGAACAAATAAATTGAATAATTATATTTACCATAAAATAAATTAAATAATCATTGGTTATTTAAAGAATGAATCGAAATATATTTAAATTTACATCGAGTGATTAATCCTTAAATGGACAGTTCCGTCCAATAAACATTACAGGGCGATATATAGTCGAGGTCTTGACTCCAGTTGATTTTTGTACTAGAAATGTGGGATGCGCCACTTTGCATGTGGATTAAAACAAGATCATAGTTCATACTAAATAGTTGAACTTTGATCCTAATGAATGGCATTAGGGCAAAGCTCTCTCAACAAGCTGGCCCAAGCACATTACGACATGTATGGCATTTCGTGCAAGAGTGGCAACGCCAGGTTTGTTCCGTTCGATGCTGCCAGATATGCAATGCATCACATGTATCCACAGCATGGAATGTTGGAAACTGTCTTGATAGTTCAGTTCAAGAATGTACCGAATGACTCATATGTAGGTAACCAAAATGAAGTTTCAGCTGTCAACATGTTTTCTTATATACATTCCGTTCCATTCAATATGTTTAGCTCGAACTAATTTATACATTTCAACCCAAAAATTCACAAAATTGAATAAGGAAATTCGAAATAAAATTGTTTATAGTTCTTAGATGTTTTCTTAGTTTACGCAAATGGAGTCGGACAAAAACAAGCTCGCATCAAGTACTCGGCTGCTGTTCACAGTTGGCGGCTATTTGGACACAATGCTGAATCATATACTCTGTTTCCTAGTACTGAGCGCAATAGCTTTGTTGGTTATCTTTGCCGTTGTCGTTGCAATGGACGATATGAACAAGCTAAGGAAAAGCCAACACTTGCGCTTCGGACAGAGCGGTCTGCCGGAAAACAGCAGCGAGTCCAGCGAGACGAAAACGCCCTGCGGTCGTTGTCATTGGCCATCGGATTGGTGTCGCATTCTGTACAATTGCGACTGGAAAGAGCCAATAAGCAGGCAATCGACTTCAATACCGAACCAGGCCCAGCAACTGCAGCCAGCCGTTCCGCCGTGCTCAACCGCAGTGCTTAATAAGTCTGACATCATGAAGTTTCTGGTGCACCAGCACCCACGAAAAGATCTGGAGCAGCAGCAACAACTGCAGCCGCCTGAGGCCAACGAAGTGCTGGAGGTGCCTTTCGACTTGGAGCAACTAAGCTAAGATCGTAAACAAATTGCTTCTTTTTTTTGGGTAAGCAATTCGTATGCCTAAATCTTGAATAAATATTAATTAGTTGTACTTTCAGATATTTTTCGGACCAATTGCGTATGCGGCAACCCATCCGGTCATTCTTGTTCAGCTAAATTTGCTAATGCTTGTGACGTCACTCACCAAACCGAACTGTCGGGTCGTTCCTGATTAGTTAACACATATATATATATAAATATTACATATGCCACCGGGCCAATGTCTCTCGTCAAGATTGAGACATATGTTGTCCCGGGTCAACATTTAAGCTATAACCCCCCCAACATTTTATAAATGGATTTCCGAATTCCCAACTATGAGACGAGCTACAGGCAACTCTCAAATGGCGACTAGTATTATTGCCTTTCCGACGCCCAGGCATTCGTTTTTTTTTTATTTTTATTTTTGGCTTGATTGACAATGGTAAGTCCCAACAGAATACATATCGAAAAAATATGTTTGCTAATTTCTTGACCCCAGCTGAAGCTTTCTCAATTGAAATTCAAGGAGCAATGACCAAGGAATGTTGATAAACAAGTCCGCAATCCGCACGCAAATTTTTAACAAATTGACAAATTTTAATCGTGGAAATACAAAATTTTTCTGATCCCAATTAACTTTCTCCAAATAGGATGATAGCAGTATATAGCTTATATGGGATATACAAACTTGTACAATGTGCATAAAATAAATAAAAAAAGATGCCCTACATTTAACTTAAATTTATCAATTTTGGCAGATTGAGGAGGGAGGGATGATATGTAAAATAATTAATATCTATTCTACTTATTATATATACATGCATGTATATATAGAGCTTGGTCTGCGAGATATACTCATCGATATCTATCGATCTCTCATCGATATTGAATTTATTACACGCCATTGCAAATTATATACAAGCTCCTATATTTTTAATGGAATCGGGATATCAAATTAACTAGCCTTTGAGCCACGATATCAAACCTTGCGGGCATTTGGATAATCAGAAAAATGAGAACTCTTGCATTTAAAAAAAAAAACGTGTTTGTTAACAGGAATATAAGGGGAACAGCCTACCGGCCTTATGGCTTGAGTTATTAATGCTCTCATTTTTTTTATTCGTTATTTAGATATGGGGATCATGTTTCCCGTCATAATGTCGGGATCTGTTTACTAGACAAGCCACACTTCGCAGAACTGGCCATTGGACTGGTTTAACATAAGAAGATCCGCTTATAAGCGCGACTAATTATCTGGTTTATTTACCATCCACCTAGCTGCAATCTGGAAACTTCCCTATAATCTCTTCGGTTCTTCTAGCTTAATTGAAACGTTTTCTTATTTCAAGGATAAAATTATTTCTTTCGGAATTTGCAAAATATAGTACAATATTATATATTATGCTTATGTATAAACGCAATTAATTCAAGTACAAATTTAAAACGGAACTGTTTATCGGCAAGCCCTCACGATTGCTTAACTTTAAATACAAAAACAACAAGCGACTATCGCCAATCTCAGAATACTCGGAGAGTGGTTCAAGAGTCTAAATCTAAAATCTCAGATGCTGGCAAATGGTCGTGTAAGCTTTTCGTCTGATAGACATCTTGAGCAAACAAAGCTGAAAATTTGCTGGCAAACAGAAGTTGCGCATGCGCATAATGAGTTAATTGAGGTATTGAAAAAGAAAAACAAGAGACTACTACAACTACAGCTACTTTAATCTTCAATCCAAATGAAATGAAGTGCATAATGTTTGCATTATCACGCTTTGCAGTTAGCCAAACAAACAGCAACAACAACAACAACAACAGCAACAACTATGCAATGCAATGCAATAACAATGCCAGGCAGTTGCCGCTGCTGTTGAAGGGCAACGCTCAGAGACAACTTTGTTGTTGTTGCCATGCATTTGACTTGGCCAAAATCGTGGGCGTTGCTGCAATCGACAATGGATTTTGGGGGTCCTAAGGTCTTGTCGTTGCGGCTGTTGTTTCAATTTGCTGATAACTACAGCTGTATATGTAATTATTTCGCTTCGGCATAAAGACATAACATTTGCATAGACCAGCAGCTGACGGCAAGAACGCGAGAAGCGTACCTAGCCAAAGCAAGCCATACAATTGCATAATTGCAGCCAGATAACTAGACTAGGGCCGACTAACAGCTACCCTGCATTCAGAAACCATCAAATTTTCCTTGTATGCCAAAAACAGCTAAACCTAGATTAAAAGTGATTCTCAGAACATATGCAACTACGGACAGTCGTATCGCATTGTTAAGAGTTCGAATATATTATTTTTATTTATTGAAACGATTATTTAAAATAATCATTCATGGTAGTCTGTCTGTTAGTTAGTCAAAGTTAACAAGGACATAAAATGAAGCATAATCCGAATAATGTAGGTTGAACGATTTGAAGCTTAAGTCCTTGAGATCATGTTGTATTTTTTGAATCAAGTATTGTAATAAGCTCAATGAAAAGTTTTTGTTTACTTTAATCTGCCTTAGATAAACGAAAGTTATTATATAAAATCCACTTTATCTACCTGCTATAGTTTCCTATATTGTTGGTTTTATTTAACATAGAATAGATTGACGCTAAGGCACAAAGTTATTTGCTGACTGTTGCAACCCTTCTAGCAAGGTAACAAATATCTATGCAATTACAGGGTATAACAAGCATATATTTTCGGCATTTGTTTTGCCTTTTGCCATTGACAACGGGGCGTTTGTTTGGCTTTGTCAATTATCATAAAATTTAATTAAAATAATCAGTGGTTATAGCGCTCACACAGCGACCAATTCATAATTTAAAAAAAAAAAAAGATTGTGAGAGTAATTTCGCAATATCCAGCGGCATCTTAGAATCAAATTCGGCGGTTCAGACTGAGGCTCAATTTTAATGGCATCCCAACACGAAATGGAACGTGCAACATGGAGTTTTTGATTTTCTAGCTGTAATTCTTGATCAACGATTTTGAATATTTATGAGGCGCACTTAATTAGGCGGCTTTAACAATATTATGACTATATTTATGCATGACATTTTCCAATACTGATGGCCAAGTTCGTTGCCTGAGTCATTCGTTAATGCTGGGAAAGTTTTTGCGATATAAAAGTTAGAACCAAAGCATGTTTATTGACCAAATCACAAAACAAAATAAAGCAGTTGTCTTCGTTTGCGTGTTTGACATTCTCATTTAATTTTATAAATTGCATAATCATGAATGGCTCAAATGTATTCATTTTGGGCCTTTGTTGGCCGGCTTTGTTGGTGACACAGATTTATTTATAGCAGCTATTTGTCAAGTTTTGTTTTGTATACGAAAAAAAAAAAGCCGGTTTGAAGCAATCGGGGGAAATGGGTGCGATAACAAAAGCTTAAGAACATTTATTGCTAATACAAAATTAAAATAAAAAACAATGCTGTATTGACCGCATCTCTAAAACGAATTCAATTGGAAAGTACTCAATTGATTGGTTAATTAGGATTATGTTAATTGAGAACTCGTTGCCAAATTGTAGCTTCGCTCTCATGCTGTGCCCGAGAAATGGCCAACAAATTGGGCACAACGTCTACGCACTGCTCACCGAAATGAAAAACAAAACATATTTGGCACTGCATGGAGTACTTTAAAAATTATATTAGTCTTACATGGTTTACCCAATTTATGGGTCTTTCTCTCTTTAGCCATTTGCCGTTTTTGGCAATTAAATAAAACATGCCGCTGTTGGGTCTCTGGCAATAGATGCGGCTTACATAACCATATGTAAATTATGCCAACAAATGAAGAAGAAATATTGCACGAATACGTTGCGATGCGAGTATCGCATGCACAGGAGGAACACACCTCAAAACGAAGACAGCTCGCCAAAAGGGAAGCTCAAGTTGGTAGCAGCCTTCAGTTTGTCCACCCACCCTACCCCCACCACTCCCTTATTCCATCTATCCACGTACACTTAGGTTACACATGGGCCCAGCCCATGGACCGCAATTGAAGCGCAGCCATTGACAAGATAATTTCCTAGGAGCTGCATGCGCGCAGTAAATCCATTCAAATACACTTCACAAATAGAGACTATGACCACTAACCATACAATGCATAGACTTGTCAAATGTTAAAATAATCGGATACCGATAAATCGTCAACGACTGAGCCCCATGGGTGACCGCGACCATTTTAGTGTGCCCAGACAAAGTAAGACTGCTGAGAGTGGCAGCCGAACGCCGGCCTCGACAGCCGAACGTTCAGTATGAAGCCGCATCCCGCTCAGCGCACAACGTTGCTGCGGCTGATGCTGTTTTGTAATATATGTATCTTTTCAGCCCAAATACATACATATGTGTATATGCGTGTGCAGAGTGCCCCTCGCTCACACTTATTGCTTTGCGCACTTGTGTGCATCTCCTTCTCCCTGCATAGCTTCTCACTTGCACTTTGATATGGAAAAATGCAAGTGATCTTTTTTATGTATTTTTTGACATAGTAAACATTTTGGGTTAAAGGGTTAAATGGCAGGCAATTAACGATAAGAATGTGCAGCATGCGTCTGCATCCATATCAAAGTGCAAACGAGCGGCAAGTGCGGTTCACCTGTTTTCGTTGCCTGTTCACACATGTGTGCCTTACGCGGCCGCAAGCCCACCGTCGCCCAAATTTACGCACCCATTGATGAAAATATCTCTGTCTCACGACAAACCCTTGATCGGCTCATTCGCACACATTTTTGTGTGTGTGTGTGTCTGTGTGTAGAGCTCGAAATTCAGAAATGCCAAAAACTTCAAATTTGGTCAAATTTGCATCGGGCAGGCAGGCAGGCAACACGCACACAAACGCATAAATGCTTCCATCCATATAGAAAAGTGTGTAAGTATGTGTGCTTGGCAGGCCCAAAAAGTTATTATGCACACATGCCAACGTTCAGGTACCCTTACCCTTACAACAAGCATGGAAAATAGGAGATTTGCACATGAACAGGCCAAACCCTTTAATAATGTTCACACAACTGCTTACTCGAAAGAGTGTGCGTGTGCACAAGTAGCAAGTCGAAAAAATTGAACATTTTCAATGTTTGGTCTTTTCTTAAATTATTCGACAAGCCGACGAAGAATTACCCTTGCAGAAATACGACTTAGTTTTTTTTTAATTTTAAGCAAAATTGGTCCCCACAGTTAACAAAAAAATTAAAATATAATATATAAATATATTATTTAGGTCATTTAAGTTTTTAATGAATATAAATATATCAGATTCTTCTAATTTGCCTGACTGGACGAAGAAATACATGATAGAGCATTTGAATGTGTGTGCCTTTTGCCACCACAGGCACAAAGGGCACACAATTGAAGAAAAAATCTCTGGCTCGCGACAAACGCCGCGATCTACTTGTGCGCACATCCACACAACACAAACATATGTATGTATGTTTGTAGATCTCGGGGTTTTTGAGAAGCTATGCAGGGAGAAGGAGATGCACACAAGTGCGCAAAGCAATAAGTGTGAGCGAGGGGCACTCTGCACACGCATATACACATATGTATGTATTTGGGCTGAAAAGATACATATATTACAAAACAGCATCAGCCGCAGCAACGTTGTGCGCTGAGCGGGATGCGGCTTCATACTG